ATATATATATACATATATATATATATATATATATATATATATATATATATATATATATATATATATATTACAAAGAAGGGATTTGTATCATCAATTTCCTTCTGTTTTTGAATTTGGCCTGGAGGTTGTTTTCTGTAGACGGAGATAAACGTCTCCTCTACTTATTCTATTTTCTTCTCTCTCTGTCTTTATCTCTTTCTTTCTCTCTCTTTCTTTCTCTCTCTCTCTTTCTCTCTCTATCTATCTATATATCTCTCTCTATCTCTATCTCTCTATCTCTATCTCTATCTTTGTCTCTATCTCTTTATCTCTATATCTCTGTTTCTGTCTCTCCTTTGGCTCCGCCTCAGTTTTTATTTAAACACAACAAAAACAAACAAAACTTATAAACCCTAAACCCTAAACCCTAAACCCTAAACCCTCTATAACAAAAGAAAAGGTTGGGTGAAACCCACCAGTCTTTCTTTTTTCTCTTCTTTTATATTTTTATTATTATTACTTTTATTATATATACATATAGAAATATAATACATATATACATATAGAAATATAATATATATATATATATATATATATNATATATATATATATATATATATATGTCGTTGCCGATACAGCTGAAAGCTGTGACGGAATGTTCTCTATATCTATTGATACAATAGTTTACACAATTGTTTATATAATAATTTATATAATAAACTATACAACAATTTATATATAAAAAATATTATATAATAATTTATATAATAAACTATACAGTAATTTATATATAAAAAATATTATATAATATTTTATATTGTTACAATGCAGCCTCATACTTTTTTTTAATTTTTTTTTGTTGCGTGAAGTGACGGCCGGGTGTGTTGGCTGTACACTGGAAAAGGGAGACACAAAACAAAACGAAAAAGCAAAATAAAAAAAACAAAAAGATAAAACAAAACAAAATAAAATAAAATAAAAAACACAAAAGACAATTAAATTAATAAAAAGAAACAAAACAAAAACATTTTGAAATATATTTATTTATCTCTGCTCGGTGTTGTCGTCTTCGTGTAGGAGGACTCCACCGTATGGAGGTGGTGTGTGCGGGCGCTGCGGTGTACATACACCGCATAAAAATATAAAAAAGCGAGAAAAAAGAGTATTTTTTCTGAAATATTTTAATTAAATTTATATATTTTTTATATAAATGAGTTATATTATGCAGTGAAAGCCCACAACTACTGTACGACGCTGCACAGCGTGCGTCTGCTGTGTTGTGCCTCCGCCGCCGCTGCTCTGGCTGTGCTGCCCTCCTCCCCTCCCCTTGCTGCTGCGAGGCTTAGCGAGTGTATATATGTGTGTGCGGGGTTGGGTGTATGTGTTGAGAGAATTTTGTCAGTGGGTTTACGCAGAGAATAATAAAATATTTATTTATTCTGAAGTATAAAAAGAAGAAAATGGCGAGTCTTGTGGGGCAGAAGGCGCCAGATTTCACCTGCGAGGCGGTGATGCCGAACGGTGAATTCGACACAGTATCACTGCGGTGCTTTGAGGGGAAGAAATATGTGTTGTTGTTTTTCTATCCTTTTGACTTCACCTTTGTTTGCCCTTCAGAAATCGTTGCATTCAGCAAAGCAGTGAAAGATTTCGAAGCGAGAAACGTACAAGTCCTGGGTTGTTCTATTGACTCGAAATTCACACACCACGCCTGGCGCTCTCAGGACCTCAAAAACGGCGGCATTGGCCCCGTAGAAATTCCTCTTCTTGCAGATGTTAAGAAGGAGCTCGCCAAGGCCTACGGTGTTCTTCTCCCCGACGGCATGGCGCTGAGGGGCCTCTTCCTCATCGACAAAAACGGCATCATTCAACATGCGCTCGTCAACAGCCTCGCCATCGGCAGATCTGTGCCTGAAGCGCTCCGCGTTGTCGATGCTCTGCAGCACCACGAACAATACGGAGATGTCTGCCCAGCCAACTGGCAAAAGGGAGATAAAGCGATGCGGCCATCGGCAGCAGGTGTTGCTGAATACCTTGGCTCCCTCCACTAAACAATTCGTGCTTTAATCTCTGTACACGTATATGTATACATATATATATGCATATATATATGTATATATATATATTTATACTTATGTATGTGTATGCGTTACACACTCATGTAAACAGTGTTTACTATACTCAACAATAACTAGCCTTTTCCTCTTCGTTGGCGCCAAGTGGGGCGTCTTTTGCTGCAACTGAACAATTAACGCGGGGAGGGAAGTCTGCCCAACTCAACTCGAAAACTTTTCTGCACAGCGAACAGTTAAAAGTCAAGTTGCCGTGTTAACGAAACACCACAGACATATCCGCTTCTTCAGGTTGCATAGGGCTGTTGCAGTTCACAGCACTGGAGATATGAAGAAACACAGCTTCCTCCCTTAGACATATATATATGTAGAGAGGTCGTTTTCTTATGAAAAAGCAGAAAGTATTGTAGTGGTATCCCTGGCGTTGCGGGTTGCCGCCTTCCTGCGCGATATGCGTTGTGAATTAGCAGAGCCGAATGCAGTTCAGTGGAGAGTTGAATTGGTTAAAGCTGGGTGCAGTGCAGAGTCTGACGAAAGCTTTATCTATACGCGAAACAGCTGTACATAACTGAAACGAACTGTGTGTTCGAATTCACTATGAAAACGGGTCTGTGGTAGTAGTATACAGCTAGAGTGGATTCATATAGTAGTGCTGATATTCTATTGTATTTCGAGGGTAACCAGACGTAATTGTTGAGAGAAAAAAAAATTAGAACTAGTATATAATTGAAAACAAATCAAAATAAATATGAGAGTTATGTGGTGGTTGCTTCGTTACCCTCACATACTGAAGGGCAGCGTTCTGTATTTGTATGTTCTTCATCTTCTTGGCTTTCACAAGCATTGATGATACCTTTGGAGAAATGCTGATCATTGTCTAGATGTTGTTCTGAGCCTTCTTCTGATGCTTCTTCATCTTGTTCATCTTTGCATTCGTGTTCCGTCGTTTCTTCTGTGCAATCTATAGGAATTAAGACGCCAGGCTCACGGAGAAAGCTGTGGAGTTCAATGATGCGAAGAGCGAGGAATATGGCGACAGGAGTTGCAAGAAGAAGCAGGCAAGCTTGTGTGATGCAAATACGCCGCAATAGCAGGTTAGTAGAAAAAGCTTCGAAACCACGAACAGGTGTTCCTAGGGAAACCGTAACAACAACTCCGAAACAAAAAGAAAGCAAAGCTGTTAAAAAATATGAAGGAGCTCTGCGATCAACTTGTGCAAATGCAGAACACAAGAAACAAAAAAGTGAACATATTCCACCGGCAGGATTGTCGAATGCAAAGTTCGCCAGTACGTACACCCCGTGCATTCCTGTCAATGCAGAAAAAATTTCTCTCCAGAATTTCACCTTTGAAAAAGCTTCTTCTGCAATTTGTGCAGTTTCTGTTTGATTATGTTCATTATATATTTTTGTTGATTTATTTTTATTTATTGTATTATATTCGAATTGTGTGTTTTCTACAAAATCTCTAGGTTGAAGGAGCTGCTGCTGTTGTTCTACTAGTTTATGGGGTTTCTTCTCTCCCCCTCCTCCACCCCCCCCTCCCATATCTACAGTAATGAAAGGTGGAGTCGCTGGATCTTGTGTTTCCCTTTCTGGAGAAGAACAAACATCTTCATCACGATGAACTTCTTCGTCAAGGCAAGATTTACCAGGATCTTTATTACTATCGTCATCAGCAGCTCTCCTCTCCCCCCCCGCCCCTCCAACCATGACGGCGGCTCCTCTTCCACGCGTCTGTATATCAGTGAGTCTATTCAAGCTGGAACTCGTTTGGTGAGATGCTTCGCGAGTTCCTACATGAAGAGAAGAGGCCGCACTGAAGTTATTCCTATTACTGTTGCCCCCCAACGGTGAGGCGTAGTATACCCTGGGGCCGGCTTCCTCTGCTACTAGTGCGGGGCGCAGCTGCAGCTGCACAGGCGGATCACCAGGGAAAGCATCATATGGATGAAGAGGCTTATCAAATATTTCTTCATCAGTATCTTCATCAAATGATGAACTGTAAGGATTATTATCTATGTCTCTCCTCATACCCAGGTGGGTACCGCCGGCGAGATGCTGATGGTCTGTCGTGACCGGTTGGTGAAAACGACTTCCCATGTTGCATCAGGGGGAGAAGACTCTCAAGATGATGAAAGGCGTTAAGATATGTTTGATAAATGCAATTTGTATTTTAACTTGAAAATAATTCAAACAAAAATATTATATAGACACAATGCGCAGTGCATATCGCCCCCTCCTCCCTCCATCCTCTCCCGCCTCGTCGGGTTGGCCCATCAACCAACCGGGTGCTGGGATTCATCATGAATGGTCTCAGCGGAGTCAATGGCAGCAGAGGGGTGCACAAGAAGCATCAGGGAATACTTGAATTTCGTCCTTAGGATTTTATATTCAGGCTTTGTTTATATTTCAATTAAAGGATAAGTGGCATTAATCACTGCTTATATGATACAGCCCACTGGTCTGTTTATCTTTATATATGTCTGCCGATCCCCACGGCATTCGTTACCTTGTCTATTTCTTTATTCACTTTTCATCTTCTTTGGCTCAAACAAACAGACATTTTAAACAAATTTATTAAACAATAATAATAATTCAAATCTACAAATGATATGCAGTAGATCATGCCACCATAAATAGAAATAACTCCGTCGTCTGCACCGACACGTGTTCTTCGCCTTGATCATATTTCTTCGGGCCCTTTCCTTCTAATCACTCTCCCGTCGCATTCGTCTCTATACTTTTGTCATTTGTTACTATTTTTTTGTCTTCTCACTCCCCATTTTGTCCTTGCCTGTAGCCGTCGTCGTTCCCTTTCTTCACTATGCTGGCCATATACACCGGAGGCATCGAGAATAACAACTAAATTTGCATGCATTAGCAGAAGCAGTTGATGAAAAATACAAAATAAACTCTCAATCAAGCAGGAGAATCGTGAGAGTTAGTTAGTGTTGTCTTATGACCTCTGCAGGTCATACATAAAGGGAAGTTAAAGAGACGCAGCAGACTTGCATTATAATATTAATAATTGTAATAATATAACAATATAACAACAAATATGTATTTTACGACATAGAAGGACAATGTAGGTAAATATTTTCAATTGTTTTCTCTCTAATTCAAATAATGAGCAAGAAGCAATGAAAAGA